TTTTGATAAAGGTGATGGCTGATTTTTATTTTACAATTTTTATCACTATACAGACAGATATTTCACTATACTAGACAGATACAATGATATCTGTCTAAAGCTAATCATTGATAGATTTAGTTTTAAGGCCAGGCGTGGTGGCTCACTCCTATAATCCTAGCACTCTAGGCCAAGGTGGTAGAATTGCTTAAGCTCAGGAGTTGAAGATCAGCCTGAGCAAGAGTCCCCCATCTCTACTAAAAATAGAAAAAGCAAACGGGTGTGGTGATACATGCCTATAGTCCCAGCTACTCAGGAGACTGAGGCAGGAGGATCACTTGAGCCCATGTGTTTGAGATTGCTGTGAGATAGGTGGACATCATGGCACGGTAGCCGGGCAACAGGGTGAGACTGTCTCAAAAAAATTTTTTTTAGCTTTAGACAGATATCATTTTGTATGCTGGTACTCTGGTCCTTGTCAATGTTTGGAGGTATTACCTTGTTATAGTGCCATTAAACTTACATAATTTTAATTTTAAGCACTGATTTATATGGCTATTTTTTCCTGGAGAAATAAAGTTTACCTAAGTTACCTAAGTCTTTTCACTTTTTCTATTCATTCATTCGTGTGTTTATTTTTAATTAACTTTTGGAAACAGTCTTAAAACTTGAGAAAAATTCCAAGCTTTAGTACAAAGAAGATTTTATCTTGAGTCATTTGAGAGTGAATTGCTGATATATTATGCCATCACCCTGATAATCTTAGTATTCTTACAAGTCAAGACATTCTACATAACTGCAATACAACCTTCATGATCAGAAAGTTACCATTAATACATTCTATCATTTAATCCTCAGATTCTTTTCAAGTTTTATTACTTGTCTGCAATGTCCTTTGTAGCAAACAGATCCCATTTGGATGCATGGATGCATTTAGTTGTACTGTCTCTTAAGACTCTTTCAGTCTGGAACTGTTCCTCAGTTTTTCCTTGACCTTCATGACTTTGAATCTTTTGAAAGTAAAGTCCAGTAGTGCAGAATGTCCCTGCATTGAGTTTTGTGATGTTTCATTATCAATTAGATTTAGATCATGTGTTTTTTTACGAGAGTGTCACAGAAGTGATCCTGTGGTCTTGTCTTTGTATCCTAGCATATGACCTACAATCTAATTTGTCCTGCTACTGGTGATGTTGGCATTGATCACTAACAGTGGCTAGTTTTGAGTTTTGAATTGCTGAGCCAGCCAAGCATGATATCTTAAATAAATCTCAATTAGTCCTGTGTGTAATTATTTTTAAATACTTTGATGGATTCAATTTGCTGACATTTTGGGGTGCAGATTTTATTTCTAACTTCATGAGAGATATTGGTCTGTTGATTTTTTTTTCCTTTTACTATCTTTGTTTTCTGGTTTTGATATCATAATGATACTGGCTTCATAAATCTATTTGGGAATTAACTGTATTCTTGTATTTTCTAGAAGAGTCTGTGTAATGTTGATGTTAATTCCTTGAATGTTTGGTAAAAATTTCCAGTGAAACCATCTAGGCCTATAGATTTTAGGGGAGAGGAAGCTATTTCATTACAAATTCTATTTATTTCTTTTATAGTTATAGAGCTATTGAGGCTCTCTATTTCATATTGGCTCAGTTTGGGTAATTTGTGGTTTTTGAGAAATTGTTCCATTTGTTATACATAGTTGCGTTCATGAGCATTACATTTTTGGTAGTATTCACTAGTTATTAAAAGGGTCTGCTGTGACATTTACTGTTCATCTCTGATATTACTGATCTATTTCTTCTCTCTTTTAATCTTTGTCATTCTTGCTAGAAGTTTGTTGATTTCATTTGTTTATAATTTTTGAAGAACTAACTCCTTGTTTTATTGTTTTTCCTTATTCTTTTCCTGTTTTTTCATGTCATTGATAACTATTCTTACATTTACTATTTCATTCTCACTCTTATTTTCAGTTTATGTTGCTCTGGCTCATTTACACACAGCCCTGGGGTGCTCTGAGTCCAACAAAATACTGCTTCAGAGTCTCTTCCCCAATCCTGTGATGACCCTCTTTCCCTTTGTGCGTTGCTTCCGTTTCATGGTGTGACTATTGCCTCATTGCAATGTGTCAGTGAACCGGAATCTGTTGGCAACAGATTTAGTTGAGGTATCTTGATTGTGCTGGAACAAATGTTATTTTTCTGGATTTTGTGATGGTTGTAGTATTTATCAGTATTTTAAAATGTGATTTATTTTCTCTTCCTAAATAAACATTTTCTTTTGTGCCTAGTTTTGTGTTGGTAATACTGTGCTAGTTTTCATCCAGCGAGTGCCCTAAATCATATAAGCCTCAGGCCCCACAGCACCTGGGTCCACCTGGGTCCTTGGGTGAGTGTCACCCGCCCTGGAAAGACCACCCTGGCTGACTACTCCATCCTCCCATGGACTCATCCCGCCTCTGCCAGTGATTTGTCAATGTTGAAGTGAGGGGGTTTCTAACCTCTGCAGATTCAATCTTTTGCCTGATTTGTGACGTTATTTTTGCTAAAGGAACTCTAAAGGGGTGTAATATTTCCAAAACTTGATCTGCTCAGGATCCTCCTTTACACGACTCCACAGACCCCATAGCTTCAGGACACAGTCAGTGCCCTTGGCTTAGCCCAGGAGTTGAACCTGCTCACCCTCAGCCTCTTCCCCCTGTTACCCACCTAGTGGGTAGACGCTCAGGGAGAAGGTAGGGGGAGCCATGTGCATAGCCCCCACCTCAGCCCCACTTCCCCAGGGAAGGGAGAATTGTATCAGAAAAGGAGCCGGTTAAGAGGAAATCACTGTGTCTACAGGGTATTTAGTTGCTTGTGTCAAACTGAGGCAAACCTTGAGCAGCTCCCTGCAGGGGGTCTTCACCCCTAACCCCCTCCCCTGGGCTTCTGAGCACCTGCTGCTCTGCCTGGGGCCCTCCTCCCCACAGAAGCCTGGATCACTAAGTCCATGAGGCCCCCTGCACCTTCACACCCGCCCAGGGTCACACATCCCCCCCCCTGCTCAGGCCTCTGGGCGGTGCTTCTCTTCCCTCCCTCCAGAGACTTTGTTACTAAAGGCAGGGCTGAGGCTCTGCCTGCAAGGTGGACATGGAGTGGAAGCTTGTGTTCCCCTCGCCCTCCCCGGCATTCCCAGCGCTGGCCTTGCTGGTGCAGCATGTGAGGGACTGGCCTGGGGGCTGTTTGGTGGACTCCTCTTTGTCATTTCGCCTTCATGTTCACAGCAGTGGCCGCAAGAGACCTTGGACCCTGCAGCTGTGAGCATGGAAGGTATTTATGAACCTGCCCCAGCGGGACCCGCCCTGAGGGCTGCACCCCGCTGTCCTGAAACAGCCCATGGAAGGACACTGTGGGGTGGGCCTTGTGTGCCTCTAAGGACTGTCACCTCCTGTTCAGGGCCGGGAAACATCCACTCTTCCAAGGCATTATGCTGACTCCCAGGTGGTGGTCTTTCTGAACTGAAGTGTACTTCTTGGAAAAAGAAGAGCCTACAGCATGTCAGTCCCATTTGTGTCTTTACTTCTCCATCCCTAAGGTGAAGCTTGATGTGAGGACTTGCTTTAAATCCAAGTCCAGAGAAAGGGCTGGTGGGTGTGAACCTGCAACACTCTCCTAGGGCGCGACCTCCCAGCGTGGGGCACGTCCTCCCAGCGTGGAGCACAACCTCTCAGCATGGGACATGTCCTCTCAGCGTGGGGCACGACCTCCCAGTGTAGGGTATGACTCCTGGGTTGGACCAGAGCAGACACTGCCTTCACTCTAGGACTTTTTCCACCTTTGATTCTGGTTGGTGTTTCCCCCAACCAGTTACACATACACACAGATAGTTTTAGCCTTTCTTTTCATGTAGGGACCTAAATTTTTTTGGGCAAAGAAATGGATATAAATCACCATCTATCAGTCTCTAGGGAACTTGATGGGAGAAAGTCAGTCCCGGGAGTGTGACCAACTCTGCAGACATGGGTGGCATCTACTGCCTGGCCGGCCCCGCTGAGGCCTCCTCCCTGCCTGGCGTCTTTTAGGGCAGCAGTGCAGGAACAGGGCCAGCAGCCGGCACCTGCTCCACGGACCCCTTCAGCAGGAGCCGCTGTAGCTGAGCACTCAGGCTCCAGCCTCCCACTGCTCTTGTCCCTGGTCTGAAACTCGGATACACCCAAAGTGGCCGTTCAGTCCCCTGATGGGCTTATCAGCTCTCAGGCGCCAATTTGCTGTCTAGAACAAGCAGGACAAGGAGCTCTTCACAAAGGGAGTGCTGAAACCCTTTGTTTTTTTCTTTTCTTTTAAAATGATGCGGAAAATGTGGGGCGCCAGGTCGCGGCCAATTGCTGCCTCCCCGTAGTTCCGCATCTCCACGAGCTAGTGCTGTGTGTGGCCAGTTAGAGGCACGCTGCTGGGCCACCCGGCAGCAGGGCACCAGGACCCCACGTGCAGGAATGCCTCAGGCCCACGTGCCGCTGCCTGTTTCCGGCCACGCTGCTTGCGTGATCCTGATTGGGTAATTTTTTGAATCCCACTGTTTTCGATTGGATGTTAAAGCTTGCTGTTGATTGAATGTTAAAGCCTGTTGCTGATTGGCTGTTAAAGCTTGTAATTGCTTGGATGTTTCTTGAGCCCTACCAAGGGTATAAAAGCAGGGGCAGAAGGACAGGAAGGGGAGAACATTGGGAGAACATGGGAAGACACAAAGAGATCTGTAACACTAGGTGTGCTGAGCCTGCTGTGGAAGAATAAAGGCTGTTCTCCGACTCTTCGTGTGCTGCTCGGTTCTTTCCCCGGTCAAATGAATAAGAGCTGTAACGCTAGCTGTACACACTGCCACAACAGAGATAGGATCTTGCTGTGTCACCCCTGCTGGATGGGGAGCAGTGACAGAATCACAGCTCACTGCAACCTCAATCTCTTGGGCTCAAGCGATCCTCCCACCTCAGCCTCCCACAACACTGGGGTTACAGGGTGAGCCACACGCTGGGCCCAAAACCCCCCTCATGTGCACATCCCCGAGATAGGAAAAACTCAAGAAGGAGCCAATGCTACTCTTTTATTAAAGGAGGTAGGAGCAGAGCGTGTGCACCACGTATCAGTGAGTTTGAGAAGCAGTAGGGAGAAAGGAACAGGTGAGTTTGAGAGGCAGTAGGGAGAAAGGAACGGATAGAGCCACGGCTGTTCAACAAAGGCCTCCCAAAGCCTTCTCTATTTGCCTCCCTCCCGGTGCTGATGTGCGGAGGAGACCTGCACTAGAGCTGGGCCTCCATCCCAGGGTAGGGAGCAGTACAGGGAGGTGTGAGGTGTGGGTGGAGGGGGCAGGTGCAGCCCAGCCTGGCGCAGACCCCTAGGCCTTCTGACAGCTGGATTCACCAAGGTCATCGAATACTTCCCAGGGCACACTGTAGATCTCAGAAGAGCAGAGCTCTTCCTGTGAAAGGGAAGAGAGAGGGATAATCAGATCAGGTCACAGTTACAGGGAAGATGCCCAGCCATGGATGTCAGGGTGGGGGTGAGGAAGCTTGGGGGTGAGACACTCGGCCCCCACCGAGCCCCGCCGAGTCCCAGGAAACCCAGCCTGACTGTGCAGTGACTGCTCCATGGCCCTCCCAGGGCTCCAAGAGCACCAGCTGGCCCTGTGTCCCCCACCAAGCCCACAGGATCCCCCACCATCCTGCCCCAGCGCAGCCCTGGAAGGAGCAGCTTGTGCAAGGCCACTGGAGCCCAGAGGGTGGAGGTGCGGGAGGTGGCTCGCTGTCCCCAAGCTCCCTCCACTCCAGCCTCTAGGCCAGCACTGAGAGGGCCCACGGGGAAGACCTCAGGAAAGGGGAAACTCCCCTGAAAGAGCTGGGGTGTGGGGAGGGGAGAGGGAGACAAGCAGAGTGTGGCTCTCCCCAGGGAAGAGACCTCACAAGAACCAGCCAGGTCCTTGGCGTGGCTAACGTTGGATGAGTGGGGGCAGCCTCGGAGGGCTTGGGCCACTTACAAGCCTCTGATTCCCTCTAATCTGCTCAGCATGGCCGTGGGTGTGGGCAGGTGGCTGAGGCTGGCACTGAACAAAGCCCTTCTCCCTCCCCAGCACCCAGCTCTGAGGCTGATTCCTCTAGCACTGCAGGGAACACCCCAGAACAGGCAGGATTGTGCTCTCAGTACCTCCTTCCCAACTAAGGCCCTCTTAGCAATTCAAATTAGGCTCATGCACGTGCCCCTGCCAACACCTCACATACGCACACAGGGATGCATCTATGTAAACTCACGTGCACCCCTCACCCACAGGCTTCTATGCATGAACCCCTACACTCCCCCACCCACATGCCCATGCACCTACCTGCACACACCCCAGCATGTGCACATGGACATGCACGCATGTCCCCACACTCCCTGTGCTTGCAAACATACACACACACACACCTCCGTGTGTACACACACCCTCCTGAAGATGTGCGGGATCCCAGGAACACACACATCCCCCTCTGCAGTGCATGACTGGCCCCTGACCCACATCGGGTCCATACCCTCTACAGGTTCCGCTGCTCCTGGAAGGGACAGTTGTCCAAGTTGGGCTGGGAGTTGGTACACATAGTCTGGCCGATCTTCACATCAAAGAAGTAGTTCATCCCAGCCACGACCTACACATGTGCAAGAGCAGGATTCATCACTGCCTACAGCAGTGTCGTCAATTTCATACGCACACAGGCAGTTCACTGTTGCTGAGTTACTACCTGTGCCCAGGGGCTTCATGTTTGCATTTTTGAGCTGCCACACTGTCACCTGCAGGGCATACAAGCCACCGGCTCCTTCCAGCTGGCAGGGGTGCTATACCCCAGGTGTTCCCTTGTAACTTATTTTCTTTGAACAACCCCACCAAGGTGTCGCATGCAGCAGGACAGTGGAAGGTGGCAGACAGGGACTAACCCCTCACTGCATTCAGGAATGGCAGGCGCAGGTCTGGGCAGCCAGCCCGGGTGGGACCAATAACCAGTCCCTGCACCAGGAGCACAGGCGTGGCCTAAGCACAAGTGAAGGCTCCGTGTAGGAGCAAGGATTCATCACATCCTGTAACTGTGGCCCAGGGGCAGGGAGCGCTGATCCATTCTAGGAGGGCTGTCTTCCTACGATTCAGTCTCAGCTGACTTCCAGCCACCAGCACACAGCCCCGCAGAATCCCACTCGCTCTGTTTTCCCCAGATTTATATATTCCTTCCCTCGTTTCTCAGTCGGAAATGAGATGCTTCACATACACAGAGGTTTTAGGCCAATAAGAGACTGCTCTCGAATGCCCCTGTTTTAAACGTGATTTGCTGGCAATATTTCTCAAGTGCGTCACACACCGGCATGATTTATGTTTAGATTACAGAATAGAGCTGACCCCTCTCTCTGCACAGGGCCTCCCCCAGACACGCCTTGTCAGAACTGTGGAGCAGCAGGGATGAGGAGCTCTGGGATCAGGGCTCTAGACCTTGCCCTGTGGATCCGTGATTCCTCTGGTATCAGTCTGCCCATCTGTCAAATGGGCTCCCAGGACCAGTGATCTACAGGGTCTTGTACTTCACTCCAAGTTAGAGCCACCCTGGAGAGGCGCAGGCTAGCAGAGACCACAGCACCAGGGGGTCCACCTGAGGTTCCAGGGAGAGGACAGTGGCTGAGGGTGCAGGAGGAGAAGCGGGGCTGCCTGGACTCCCTGAATTTTGAAAGCAGGTGGGAAGAGCTCTACACGCCGGCATGCCATGCCACCCTGTGCTGCTGTGTCGCTCTGGGCAGCTGTGCAATGGGCGCAGGGCAAGCTCGGGCCCAGCAGCCTCCCTGCCGCCCCCTCCCGACCCCTTCCCCACACTGACTGCCTCCTCCTCTGCCAGAGTGTAGTGCGCCAGGCTGCGGCTGGCAGAGGCGGGGTTCGGGCGTGGTCCTCTGCACGCCAGCAGGTGCTCAGCTGCCCATGGCTGTGGGTGGTGGTCTGCGGGCTCAGGGTGAAGGACGCTCACCCTGGGGCTGCTCCCAACCCTGTGACTTTTGGAGGGAAGCATGGCACCTCAGGACCAGGAGGCCAGGCTCCCTGAGTGGCACCTGCTGAGACACTCAGGGAGGAGGACATGCCTCCTCTGTGTGCACATTATGACCCGAATCTAACCTTGAGGGGGCAGCAGGTTCAGCAGCCGTCTCTATAGCACAAGTGGCTGGACGCCAGGAAAATACCATGGACAGGAAACAGACTGGCTGCTGAAACGTGAGGGTGGCTGCAGGTTAAACGAGGCTGGGGAGACGGGACAGAGGCTGCAATGAGAGCCTGGGCGCATCCTTGGGTATAAAGGCCATCAGTGGGACAATGAAATCTGAATAAGTCTGAGCATGAGATGATTAAATGTGCCCGTGTTGATTTGCTGGTAGTGTTCTCTGTGGGGCAAACCCAGCCAGGACTCCTGACCCCATGGGGAGGGGGCAGCACGCACCTGCTGGCAGGCATGCACCACCTGCCGCACTCAGCAGTAGTACGCATCATTGCTCTCCTTGTTGTATTGGCCGATGGCAAAGTCCAGCACCCGCTGCACGTCCTCATCATTGACATCTGCTTCCTCGATGCCGCCCACACGTTTGGAGCTCTTGGCCAAGAGTCATGGCCAGGGTTATGTCCAGGGGCACGGCCAGGATAGCCAGCAGGAGCAGTGGGGCATGCAGGGGCCTGGCCATGGCCTGCTCAGATGCACAGTGAGAAGCTGGAGCTGCGGAGGAGCCAACGGTGTGATCCTGAGCCCTCAGCCCCCTCCTGCAGGCTGCAACGCTTTACCCTGCTAGAGCCTCCCCACCCCGCCCGCCACCTGCCTCGCTCCTCCTCTTCCTCCTCCATCTCCCCTCCTTCCTGCTCCTGCCCTCACTCCTCCCACTCCCCCAGTCCTGCCCCTCCTCCCAAGCTAGTGTCACCCTGCCCCTCCTCCCAAGCTAGTGCTCCCAAGCTAGTGTCACCCTGGTCTCCAGAGAGGTGACAGAGAAAGCAACATGATTGCCTCACTGTTTCCCCAGAAAAGGGTAAAAGAGACATCTTGGCTTCCTGGAGTTGTCCAAGGTCAGGGTCATCTCTGAGCACTTGTTCAAGGTGTGGGAGTCCTCAGGACAAGGCGTGATTTCAGAGGCCATCAAATTGGTACTGACTGATTAACACTATGGTGCTCAAAGGGTGGTGGTGTTCACCAGGGATTTTGGGGTTGAGGGGATAGTCCCACATCTGAGGAATGTGGTGAGCATTGTGGAGGGGAAGGACATACCTCTAACCCTTGCTAGGGAGAGGCAAAGACATAAAATGTAACCAAAATGTTAAAAAAAAAAAAAAAGAAAGCATTTATCGGGTGTCGGGCAGGTGGGAGGGGGGAGGAGGGGATGGGTATATACAAACACAATGAGTGAGATGTGCAACGTTTGGGGGATGGTCACGCTTGAAGCTCTGACTCAAAGGGGAAGGGGGTGCATGAGCAATATACATAACCTTAACATTTGTACTCCCATAATATGCTGAAATAAAAAAATAAAATAAAATAAATGCATCTGTAGTAAACATGGATATTTTTTCTTACTGTTATGTCCTAAGCAATAAAGTATAACATCTATGCATGTAGCATTATACATGGCATTAGGCATTATAAGTAATCTAGAGATAATTTAAAGTATACTCGAGGCCGGGCACGGTGGCTCACGCCTGTAATCCTAGCACTCTGGGAGGCCGAGGCAGGCGGATTGCTAGAGGTCAGGAGTTCAAAACCAGCCTGACAAGAGCAAGACCCCATCTCTACTATAAATAGAAAAAAATTAATTGGCCAACTAATATATATAGAAAAAACTAGCCAGGCATGGTGGCGCATGCCTGTAGTCCCAGCTACTCGGGAGGCTGAGGCAGGAGGATCGTTTGAGCCCAGGAGTTTGAGATTGCTGTGAACTAGGCTGACGCCACGGCACTCACTCTAACCTGGGCCACAAAGCAAGACTCTGTCTCAAAAAAATCAAAATAAAGTATACTCTGAGGATGCAGATAGGTTATATTCAAACACTAAGCCATTTTATATCAGGGACTTGAGTATCTATGGGTTTTGGTATCCTAAACCCACAGAGGGAGTTCCTGAAACCAATCCCACACAAATACAAGGGATGGCTGTATTTACTTATTTTCTCAACACTAAAATTCACAGAAATCATAACATTATTCTAGATCAGTGTTGCCCGATTTATTTTCACAGGACACCACTTCTCTTTTTAATTTATGCATATTATTGGGGTACAAATGTTTAGGTTACATGTGTTGCCTTGCGCCCCCCAGTCAGAGCTTCAAGCATGTCCATCCCCCAGACGGTGCACATCGCACTCATTATGTATGTATATACCCATCCTTCATTTGGAAGCAGAGAAGACCTCGTATATCCAAAGCAATCTTAAGGAAAAAGAACAAATCGGGAGGCATCAGTCTACCAGACTTCAAATTTTACCTCAAGGCTATAGTAACCAAAACAGCATGGTGCTGGCACAAGAACAGAGATATAGACCTTTGGAAAAGGAAGGAGATCCTAGATATAAAATCATCCTCATATTGTCATCTAATTTTGAAAAAGCAGACAAAAGCATACATTGGGGAGAAGAATCTCTCATTTAAAATGGGCCTAAGCTACTTTTCTCTGCATTATAGAGATTATAAAACACCATCAAAACCATAAGTCAATGTATATCGATTGAAATGGACATTTTAAAAAAGAAAAAAAAAAAAAAGAAATGGACATTTTAATAACAATGATTCACAGTGAAAGCTAATCGCTATTTATTGATAGATTTTTGTTCAAACAAATGTTTTATGGCCTTTATAAATTTCTTTCAAGAGACACAGTCTTTTACTATGCTGCCCAGTCTGGATTACAGTGGCTATTCACAGGTATTATCAAGATGCACTGCAAGCTTTTAACTACTGAGATCAAGTGATCCTCCTATCTAAGCCTCCCGAGTAGCTGGGACTTCATGCATGCACCACTGTGACTGGCTTTCAAAATTCTCCCCCTAGTCAAAGATGGTCAAACATTAAACAAATTCTTTTTTTAAAAAATTTTATTATTTCTTTTTCTTTTCTTTTTTTCTTTTTCTTTTTTTTCTTCTCATGCCCCACTGATGGGTTCCATAGGATAAACAAATTCTTAAACTGGGTCAAGAATAGTTGAACTTTTCTTTTTCCTTAACAACTCTCCAACTGATACATCTTTTCATTTTTTGATTCATTTTGAGATCCCCAGAAATGGATTCTTGAGTGAAATCATATGGTTGGATTGGGAGGTTCCTGTTACATCTTTGGGAGGGTTGGGTACCATGTTTGGCTTTACATGGAATTCTGGGTAGGAAAAACGTAATTAATTGTTTGGTCAAGGTTGCTATTTAAAAACTCTTGATAGTTTTGCATCTTAGTCATCAATCACTCAAATGATGTCAAGACAGACAAAAGTGAATGCCATTTTAAAAATTCAAATATTTGCTTGATTTAACTATTTTAAAAGTACTGTGCAAATGCCCATCAACAGGCAAATTTTGCAGTAGTTGAGATTAAAATGCTGTAAGAAACACAGGAATTAGAGATGTACTTTTATGTAAGAAAATGACAATTAGACTTTAATAGGTTGTGAAAAATATGTTTTACCATGTTGATAATGAAAAATAACACCCTATTAACACTCACTTTATCAGTGCCACCAATTCGTTATTTTTTAGGATAATCAAATGAAATTGTCATACAGAATGACTATACTTTTTTTTTTTGCACATGTGACATTGATCAATTTTTCTCCCCAGGTGGCATGTTAATTCCATCCAGGCTTCTCACCAGCAGAATCAAGTATTTTAAAAAATACTTGATTCCTCTGGGGAAGAACTGTTGCCCTGATCCTCAGATTTGGAGCCCAGCCCTCAGAGCCTCTCCTCCCCACATCCAAGCCCCCAGGCTGTGCCTCCCCAGAGCCCAGCGCGCACCTGGGGGCTCAGTTTCCCTGGTTACCACTCCTCACAGCTGTGGTGGAGGCTTATTTACTGTCACCCTCCCAACTCATGGGCATGGCCGGGAAAGTGCTTCAAAGGCGTGGGGGCAAATGCTGGTGGCGGAATCAGGACAGCAGGACGGCCGCAAGTCTCCGACCCCTCCCCGCCCAGTGTTTCCGTGAAGCCTTTCTGCTTGGCTCCTGGGGCCCAGTCACCCCAGCGCCTGGGAATGAGCCTCAATTATTTCCTCCTGAAAACTTTGGCCATGTGGCCCCGCTGGACCAGTGGAGGCGGGCGAGGTGACAGGGAAAGGGCTGGAAGGACACAAGGTCATAGCGGGGTCGGTTCCTCGGGCACGGGGACAGCGAGAGGGGGACATTCCTCCGCGCAATAACAGGAGGGTGGGGTCGGGTGGGGGAGCGTGAGGTCACAGGGGTCACGTTGTGACGCAGCTGGAGCGGAGCTGCGGATTGGCCGGGCAGGCGCAGGGGTTGATGACAAGCTGGTCGCCGGAGCCTCGAGCGGCCTGGGCTTGGAGGGCCGGGACCTCGGGGGCTGCACCCGGCCCCCTTTGCTGACCCACCTCTACGGTCACCCTTCAGGACACCCTCTGGCCCGCGTCTCCAGTGGGTCCGCTCTGTTCTACCGTCTTCCTCTGCTCTCCCAATCCCCCGGCCTCTCCGTTCCTGGCCGCCGCAGTCCTCCGCTTTCCACCGCCACGTCCAGAGATTGCGTGCGCAGCCAGCCCTTCTTCAGAGCCTTCGCTTACCTGCTCATCCTCCCTGTGTGTCCTGTTTGCCCGGATGTCCGGATGGCTGCCACAGAGACGGCCGCCTGAGTGCTCCGCGTCGCGGCGCCCGTGAGAAATCGTCCTGCCGGCGCGGACAGAGAGCTGGTTTCACCAGCGAGCCGTTTTCCTAGTAAGAAAGCCCGCGCCGTTTCCACCGCGGCCTGGGCTGCGAAGGAGAATTCGCGTGGGGACGGAAGTGGCCACCCGAGAGACGGCCCTTAGCAATACGCCGTAGGAGAGCTCAGCTTGGACGGCCAACTCCAGAAACACTCACCAAATGCTTTCACAGAGAGACCACCCAAATGGGGGCGGGGGTGGACGGGTGCTCTTTGTTCCTCACAAATGAAATGGAAGTTTTCTACTATCTCTCAGTGTGTCCCGCTTGTGAGGTCTTCCTCTTCTGGAAATGGAAGGGTTGGGCTTATATCTGAGGTAAGGCCTATATCTAGTCCTAGCGAGTCATCAAAAGTGCTCAGTAAATGAACGCATCAGAGCGTGAGCCCTCTTTTGGCCACATCTGTAGCTCCCAGCAGCGCTGAATTCTTCTGAAGGAGGAGTGATGTTTTTCACATTGATGTTTGTGACATCAGGTTTTTCTATAAATGCAAGCAAGTTTTTCCTACAATGGCCAAGTGGAAACTTTCTAGAAGATTCCACTCCCATGTACGCCCATTTGTTTATTTATATATTTATTTAATGGTAAAAATTTTATTTTTATTTTTTTGATAGAGTTGGGTACAAGTTGAATTCTGTAAAATATACTATGATACAGTGTAGTCTGGCTTTGTACCATCACCCGAATAGTGTATATTGTACGACATAAGTAATTTTCATCCCTCGCCCCCTCCCTGGCTGCCTCCTTTTGAGTCTCCATTATACATTCTGTATGCCTTGGGTACCATAGTTTACACTTATAAAAACATATGGCATTTGTTTTTCTGTTTCTGCTTAATTTATGGTCAGATGATTTTTAAGTTATAAATGAGCTTAACAACTCTGTAGGATACAAGATCAAATACAAAAATCAATTGTGTTTCTATATACTAAGCAACTAGACAAAATGAAATAAAAGTTTCTTTTAAAATAGTATGTCAAAGAATTAAAATAGGGATAAATTTTAGCAAAACATTTGTAAAGCCAGTACACTGAAAATTATCAAGTCACAGTTCTCCCCAATTAAACTATAAATTCAAAGCAATCCCTATAAATAGTCCCAGTAATAGACTTTATTAGAATAGACGGTTGAATGGAAAATGTATATATGGAAATGCAAAGGACTTAAAATAATGAAAGACAGTTTTTTTATACAAAAGAATGAAGTTGAAGACTTATGTACCTGTTTTCAAAACTTACCGTAAAGCTCCAGTAATCAAGACATCATGGTGTTGCCACAAGGTCAGGTATATAGATGAATGAAAATTATTTGAGATCCTTAAAAACTGTTTAAATTTATGGCCAGATGATTTTTGATAAAAGTATACAATCTTTTACTAAATGGTGCTGGGACAATTGAATATCCATATGCCAAAAGCATTATTACTTCACACAGCACACAAAAGTTAATGGAAAGTGGATTATAATCCAATGTAAGAGCATGCCTTAAAATTCAATAAAGAAATAGGGAAAAATATGCATTACCTTGTGTGGTGAATAGTTCTTAGAGACAAATCAAAAGCATAGTCATAAAAGAAAACAAAATAGATATTATAAAAATTATAAAGTTTACACTTCAAAAGGCACCATTAGAAAAATAAAACACAAGCCACACCACTGAGAAGAAGAAATCACAAATAAATATATCTGATGATAGACTGAATCCAGAAATATAAAGAACATGTAAATTCAACAATAAGATACAACTAAAATTTCAAGAAGAGTGAACATTTCACTAAAGAAGATATAAGAATGGCTAATGGCTATGAATGATGAGCACTTATGATAATTCTCAACATTATTAAGTATTAAAGAAGTTCAGATTAAAACCATAATGAAACTATACATACCATAAAATGACACAGTAACACAGAATAACAAGTGTTGATGAGAAGCAGAGAAACTGGAATCCCCGCATGTGTAGGTGAAGTGTAAAAAGGTACAGCTACCTTGGAAATCAGTTTGGCAGTTTCTTAAACTTACACACAACCTGGTAAGACACTTGTGGAATCTATTTAAGAGAAATGAAACACGTTCATACAAAGACACGTACATGAAATGTGTTTTAGCAGTATTGTTCATAATGGCTCAAACTGGAAGCAATCCACATATCCATCAATGGGCAGATGATTAAATAAATGGTAGTATACATTACTGATGGAATCTATCAGTAATTAAAGCCACTACTGATAAGTACTACAGTATGGATGAAATTAAACATGCTAAGTGCAGAAGGAGCCAGGAGCCCAAAAGCGTACATATGTGTGATTCATTTATATACAATGTCGGAAAAGTAATGTTATGAGACAAAGCACGGTAGTATTGTCTAAGGGTTGGGGTGGGAGAGGGGATTAACTGCAATATGATTGTGAGAGGAACTTTTGCAGGGTGACGGAAATGTACTAAAACTGGATTGTGGTTGATGCTATGCATAAGTATAATTTATCAAAAACAGTTTGAATTTTACACTTCCAGGTGGGCACAGTTTTTATCGGTATGCTAATCATACCTCAATAAGCCGTAAACGTAAAAAGGAAGAAGAAAAAAGTTTAAGGGTGTCTATCGGTAAACATTTAAAAGCTTATTACATAGTAAGCTTCTGTTACTATAGTTAGGAGCTAAGAAGAAATGGCTTTGGTCAACATTCAAGAGTGTTAGTTTATATGACTTCATATTTAAAATAATCAGGCTCTACATGTGACATAATGTTAGGAACAATATTTTTTTAATAATAGGGTAAATGTCTCATGATTAAATTTTATAAATTTCGGTATATTGGATTATAGTAAAATACACTGACTCATAAGTGCGTTAACACAAAATTATATGTATAAAACTTATATTGAACTAAGTGAAATTTGATAAAATGGATACATTTAAAGTTTATTTTATATAATATTTTACAAGCTACAATCATAAGGATTACATGTTTAGCTAATTATAATTTCTCTGTCCTTATCTTACCTTTAAGATCTTAGATAATACATCAGTCTAATTAATAAGTTTTAAATGCCTGGAAAGTTCTTAATAAAAAACAGACACAAACACTTATAAATAGATGATATGTATCTAATTCTTTTAATTTTGAATGGCAATAAGGATATTAAGGATAAACTATATATAATCATCCTCCAGTTGTCCTTAGAGGAATATAATAATTATATATAATTAATATCAAAATTATACAACGAAATAATATATATGTGAATAGTAGTATATTCATCTATTTTCAATTGTTAATATGTGTGATGGAGAAAAATAGTAAAACCATTCTTGTTTTTATTTAGTTCTTTTGTGTCTGGAAAAGAGTTATTTGATAAAGATGATATGTGAATATAAAAGAAAATAATATATATAACATTTATAATATAAATTATGTGTTATGATATTAACATATTTTGATGATATATTATATTATATGAAGCTTTGATTTAAAATATTATAATGAAGGTAGATATTAGAGAATAAAAAATATGTTACAAGAAATTGGATAGGATTGTCCTTCTTTTTAAGACATTAATAGTTTAGTCCATAGGATACATTTAATGAGTACAGTATATTTATTTAATATGTGATTAGTTAATTATTGTTAAAGCTATAGGGAATTTAATTAATTACCAGTTTTTATATTTTATATCTGTTATGTTAATTAATAAGCTTTCCTCCAAATTATCGAGGGACAGGGAAAGGGCGGAAGACACAAGGTCATAGCGGGGTCAGTGCCTCGGGCACGGGACAGCGAGAGGGGGACATTTTTCCAGCAATAACAGGAGGGTGGGGTCGGGTGGAGGGAGCGTGAGGTCACAGGGGTCACGTTGTGACGCAGCTGGAGCGGAGCTGCGGATTGGCCGGGCAGGCGCAGGGGTTGATGACAAGCTGGTCGTCCGAGCCTCGAGCGGGCCTGGGCTTGGAGGGCCGGACCTCGGGCTGCAGCGCCCCTTGGCTGTGACCACCCTCCTACGGTCACCTCTCAGGGACACCCTCTGGCCCGCGTCCTCCAGTGGGTCCGCTCTGTTCTACCGCTTCCTCTCTCTGCTCCCAATCCCCCCGGCCTCTCCGTTCCTGGCCGCCGCAGTCCTCCGCTTTCCACCGCCACGTCCAGAGATTGCGTGCGCAGCCAGCCCTTCTTTCCAGAGCCTTCGCTTACCTGCTCATCCTCCCTGTGTGTCCTGTTTGCCCGGATGTCCAGATGGCTGCCACAGAGACGGCCGCCTGAGTGCTCCGCGTCGCGGCGCCCGTGAGAAATCGTCCTGCCGGCGCGGACAGAGAGCTGGTTTCACAGCGAGGCCGTTTTTCCTAGTAAGAAAGCCCGCGCCGTTTCCACCGCGGCCTGGGCTGCGGAAGGAGAATTCGCGTGGTGGGGACGGAAGTGGCCACCCGAGAGACGCCCTTAGCAAATACGCCGTCAGATAGCTCAGCTTGGACGGCCAACTCCAGAAACACTCACCAAATGCTTTCACAGAGAGACCACCCAAATGGGGGCGGGGGTGGACGGGTGTCTTTGTTCCTCACAATGAAATTGGAAGTTTTTTACTATCTCTCAGTGTGTCCCCGCTTGTGAGGTCTTCCTCTTCTGGAAATGGAAGGGTTGGGCTTATATCTGAGGTAAGGCCTACATCTAGTCCTAGCGAGTCATCAAAAGTGCTCAGTAAATGAACGCACTCAGAGCTGAGCCCTCTTTTGGCCACATCTGTAGCTCCCAGCAGCCTGAATTCTTCTGAAGGGAGAGTGATGTTTTTCACATTGATGCTTCTGACATCAGGTTTCCTATAAATGCCAAGCAAGTTTTCCCTACAAATGCCAAGTGGGAAACTTTCTAGAAGATTCCCACTCCCATGTAGCCCATTTGTTTATTTATATATTTATTAATGTAAATTTTATTTTTATTTTATCTTGATAGAGTTGGGTACAAGTTGAATTCTGTTACAAATATATATGATACAGTGTAGGCTG